CTTGTAGATTCGTTTTTCGTAGATATAATATGCTGACCTTCCTATCAATTTTCATTTTTGAATTTTTGAGCTTCTTAAAAAAATCTAGGCTACAATGTTTTAAATTAGAGAGCCATCTCACCACAGCTTCAATCTTAGAAGGAATTTTGACCTACCTATTCCACTATCCCGTACCACTTTTCATAAAAACCATAGCAAACGTAACGTAGCATAGTAAAGTTGTGTTTTCTTATTTTTCTGGCGGGTGATGGTTTCTCCATGTGTATTTTAATTCTCTTCCTATACTAATCCAATCAAGGGTGAAAATGATTTTAAAAAAAATTGGAGCATGGTCTGAGGGAATATTTAGTTGATAAGGAGTTTTACAGTGTTTCTTCGTCATTAAAATATAAATAGTTAGTACAGTATGAAGTTTGAATCTTTATTTTAATGGGTCTGATTTCACTTGTTTAGTTTTAGTGACTTTTGTCCTGTACATTTTTGTATTATTTTGGTAATAAAACTATTCAGATTCTGATTCCGATTCTAATGACCACTATTAACATATTTGTAAAATTGAATATTTTAAGAATTTATATTTTCAACAATTCTTCTTTGTTATAATTTCATAGAGCTGGAAATTAATATCAGAGGTAACCGAAGAAAGCTCTGAAACTAAAACCAAACTTGACGGATGGGCAGAAAACGAATGTTGGGATTTATAAATGAGGAGTTTGCATTAAAGGCTGAACTCTACTGTCAGACTGTGATCCATCGAATCTGTACGCCTTTCAATATCTTTTACTCATGTTGGGAACCTATTTTACCTTAGTCTCATGTTCAATGAAGAGGCCAGAATATTGTAGTAAAATTTGAACAATATATTACATCTACTAAAACAATTAAGGTATAAACTCACATTAAAATATTAATTTAGATTTGCTGATTGCATTTTGGAAAAGTAACCAAAGCTTTTGCATAGAATATTAAGTTTGATATTACATAATAAACCAAGGGAATGGTTAAATATTTATTTAACCTAGTTTGCGAGAGACGAATTATACTGAATTATTCAAATATAGGGATTAAGATAGACGAGACGTTCTTAAATGATATGAATAAAATACGACCGAGGGTTGGTGAATTCTAAAGGAAAACTCTTGTTGATTCAAACACCATTTAGATTAGAGATTTAGAGTTTCAATTTTTTAAAGCCACAAGATTTTAAGTACGTACGTGATATGTAATCACTCGTATTATCTGTTGTTAAAATACATACAATGAAAAATCGTACTAAGCCAAGTTTGATAATATGGCTAAAAATACCAAAGCTACATTAAGTTATATTTTAATGTAATGATATGACTCCATTGATGGTAAGAAAATTTAACACTTTAAATGGACGATAAAATATTCCTAACCAAAATTAAATAATGGGCATATAATTTAAGCAATTTTAATCGAATTATTTACAGTGGTAAAAATGTATACTAAAATAAAGATAATAGCACCCCTTCGAGGAGATAGAGTTTTAAATATAATTGTGGCACAGCTCTATGAATATTTTATAAAACAATGTTTCTGACTAAATAACATCATGTTCCCTTCCCCATCATGTTTATATTACTCAGTGAGCCAGTGAGTAGGATTAACTATGAATATCAAAGCGATTCTTTAATTTTTATTTCATTTAGCTCAACCAAAAGTAAATTAAGTTACGTATTTATGACTAACTTTATAAATGACGAAGTTTAAAAAAAAAACTGCACAAATGGTAGGTAGGCTACTAACTTACAAATTTCTAGGCTTTGTAAACACATTTTATTTCTAAGGCAATTAATAGGCCTACAGTTTTATTGGCAGATCAACGTCCCAAAATCCTAAATCCAAAATCCTATGACAAAAAAGTTTAGTTTCACATATTATGTATAAGTACTTATAGTACATAGTTGTGTAAATATTGAGTGTATAATATCTTATGTAGATATTTAAAATGTACAGTAATCCATGTATACTAGAGGATACTACGTTCTTTTGAGTCAGGAGATCAACAGATTTGTAGTTTCAAAAATAGATTACACAACTATTAAGCAAAACTAGGCTACAAATACTGAGGCAGCTTAAAAACTTCCACTGGAAAATAAGATATTAGAATTTTAGTATTTTACTATTTTGATTCGAAATATGCATTTTATAGTTGTGTACTCTGATTAAGTAAAATATTTATCGTTAAACACACTTTAATCTTCTTTTTTGCCACCCCAAAGAGAATTGTTTGCGAGCCTACTAAAGAATCCTTTTTTTGTATCAAACCTATAACCAATTAAAATATTATGATGTGATTAAAATTAAAGATGTTTACTTACAAAAAGTGCCTCTACACAAATTTCGACAGCTCTCTAATTAAATTACGATACCTAATTATAGACCAACGTATAACTTTACGTTTCTTACTAAAAATGTAGAATGTAGTCTAGGAATATATCGTTACTGTACAATATTACTTACACTAATACAGGATATATAAATTAAATTCAGGTTAGACGTTTTAATCTCTAGAAAAAAATTAGTTTCGACTCTTGTGATTTTTAGTAACCTGTACATTTTTTAAACGTGGAAACTATATTAATTGTATTAAATGCATCCGGAGTGTATGATTCAAACTAGTATCAATTAGCGGTTTTAGCCTAAATATGCAAAGTGAAGTCTGTATAAGTATGTTATTATTATGTAAAACTCATAAAATCTCTTACACAACAGGGTTTTAAACCGTGGTATGTTTGCCCATTAATCAAGATTTACAATCTATTGCTATTCAAAATATACAGTTGTCCTGTAAGTAACAACGAAACTCAGAAAAATGGTTCTTTGGGACAAATTAAAGAGAAAACAAGAATTAATTCTTCTCCAAAATCGTTTAGTTTACCAGATTCTGTCTGCCATTTTGTACTCTTTTACATACACATTTGTATCTTTTATTTTCCAACCGATCTAAATTAAACTTGGTATCTATCTTATGGTAGTGGAAACTGTATAACATTTGTGCATACATAATAAATATTGTCACGCCCCTAATCCTTGTTACACTTCAACTCTGCATCTTTGCTGTATATGTGGTACAGTATGGAGATCTCCAAATGGTCATTCCATCCAACCATATAAGTAACACTGTAAATCTTATGTATTAGTACAATAAAAGGTAGAGGAAAACATTAAAGTGCAGTAAAACACAACAAAATTCCCTTGCCAGCAACTGTCAAAGTAATACAAGAGACAAAAACCAACGAGGCCAACTGCTTGGCTTATGTAAGGCACTTAACATTCGAAATAGTTTATGTGTAGACATAATACACAAAGTTTGGAAACTGCAATAAATTAAAACTAAAATGTGTTTTTAATATGAGATCGTATTTCACATAATTTCAAGATTGTTACCTATAGGTATCACTAGGACAATGAGTTGTAGTATCTTCAAAGCATTTACTACATGCTGGCGTTTCATTACATTTGTTATGTAACTGCACAGATAATTTGTAAATATGCTTTGCCTATTTAGTCCGTTTCTGCGGTAGTAACGCACGACACATTCAATATCAAAGGCTCTATTATGGTCTGTGGTTGAGGTTACCATCACTTCGTGTTTAACTAATGAATCTGCTTACCTCTACTAACTGGTGTTTTGCATTATAAATGACTTGATTTCAAATAGCGAAACAAAAACGAATATTATAACTCGCCAATTTAATATTCACATGATTTTAATACTGTGGTGTGCTTCATACACACTTTACACTTATTATGAAATGAGTCATAGCAATGTGAACTTAGTCTTTTCAAATTTTTCAATGGTCCATAAGTATTCTATTTATATGAATGGTCCGAAGAGAGGAATTGACTTTACCCTCAACAGTTTAGCTCTACTATTGTAAATAAATTGTTAAAAAGTTTTATTAATCAAAGGTTCAATTGGGCATTGTGTTTATACATTCGTTCCCTATTTAAATCTACTTCCACGTGTGTATATATACATATGTATATACACCATATGTACATGTATACGTTATATGTATAATCCCTTAACATCAACCGAAGACAATATTTAGGCACGCTTATCTCAGATAAATCTATTTTGCCGACCTTAAACGGCTTTCAACACAACGGTACCAATCCATCTATAATAACTGCTTGTTTTTTTTTGACGATAGGCCTACTAATAAGTAGGTTAAATCATTATGTTTTTTGTAGAGCATTGAAATTGTACAGAAACACTTATATACTGTTTTTAGCCTTTTTCAAATTAATTTTAATATAAAAAAGAATGTGGCTTTTAAAAAAACAATAATTTAACTTTATGGTAGTCTAGTATTAAGACTCTATCTTAAGCAAATCATCTTTAGCGTGCAAAATCTTACAATAGTAACCAAAACTTTAAACATTTGCTTAACATTTAACAGTATTAACAGTGACTTGTCCAAAATTTAAAAAAATGAACAAAACAAAACACACGATAGTATCTGGCGAACTAGCCACGGGTACATTCATTACTCTCCCGTAGTGATTAAACCCTGGATTAATCACTGTCTTTTACAGCCCGGCTAAACGAGGGCACATGCACGAGCTTGCTAAAGTACTTTAGACTACATAGTCATGTTCACATTATAAACCTACATTTAACCTTTAAAAATTGTGATAGTCAAAGGTTGTTTCTGTAAAAAAGGAATATGCGTCGATATTTTCCCGAGGACATTAAAGAAATCGAATGTTGGTTTAATTTAAGTACCAAATTTAAATAAACACCAATAAAAGCTTCGATTTCAAAATTGTAGTTTCTGCTTAAGGATCACAAAACAAATTTGTTATTGTAAGTAGATATCGGTGCATTATGTCACTTACAAAAGAATACATACTTTTAGGGTATAAATATTGGCTCAGTATACTTATTAGTATCTTATTCAAAGATTAGATGTAACCGTTAAATGTAAAAGCCATATGTGTTATATGTTACTCGTCTAATTTTGTAGCTGGGTGGATGAGTGGATACAAAAGTCGCCGGTTCGATCCTGAGAAACAGTCGGAAGCTTTTATAAGGTTTATAGCTCGACCCACGTGTCCTTGATGAACCAGCTGATCTCAGTCAAAAACAAAACCGTAATAGCATTCATTCAACACTCATATTGACGCCAAAGTCACCCTGGTTGTCGGTGCTGTAGGAACCAAAATATAATACAATTTAATCAAATATTGGTGCTAATATGTTAGCAAAAACTATTTAAAACTATTTTCTTTTTCCATCAACTGTCATGGAAAACACATACTTTCATTGCGGGATTATGAATAAAATCATCAATAAATAAAAAGGTTATTGTGGTTTACTTAACACATTGTCAACTAATTTCTATATACATTAACTATGGATATCCTGTAAAACTTTTACATCGGTCTCCAAAACTAGACCTTACAATTTACTCTGTTCCCAATAACACTCGTACATTTATGTATAAGACACGAGAAACATAAACATAGAATATGAATTAATCATGAGATAAGTCTTGTTCTACCAGACCGACGTTATCTCTATCAAAAAAGGCGAGATAATTTCACTCTTTACACGTTATTATCACATCTTTTTACTTTTAATATTTATTTGAAGTTTAAAGAAGATGTATATTTTGTATGGTTACCTTTAAGTTAGTTTCTTGTAACTTTATTTGTTTTTAGTAGTAAAATAGTACGGAGAAACCTTATTACTACTCATTGTTAGTTGCCAACCTTTTGCAATTTGTTGTATTTTGATAAATAACATTTCCTACATAGCCTAATATGAAAGGGTTATTAAAAATTTTATTATTTCAAACACGTTTCATAATATGCAGTAGTTAAATATGCAGTAGTAACAACTTAAAGATTTCTTATGACGTGGAGAGTACTAACTAAGCACCATGTAGTATGGAACGTTTATATATGTATATTGGAATTTTCTCCATGACTATCTCATTTGAAAGTTTCTCTGATAAACCAAAAACAAACGATAAGCCTACTTACAAATTCCCAGGTGATTTAAGGCTGATATAAGTGGTTAAAAACTATAATGCATTCACTGTATGAATTACCTCGATTCAGTTGTTCAGCTAACTAATATATCCACAATATTCAGTCAATCATTAGATTTAAATACAAAATATGGAGAAACCTTTCTACCAGGGTCGAAGCTTGGAGTTACATGGATGAAAAAGCATTAATAACTTCCAAAACTTTTTCCATTTCCCAAAATCAGAAATCACCTATCACCTAGATTTAAGATGTATTCAAATCGACCTAAAATGAAAAGCCAGTCTGTATTATTTTAAATGAGTTCCATACCACTCTTAACTTGGGTTTTCTATTACTTATGAAAATTTACACAAAGATAAATAAATAAATCAGACATGAACATATAATACAACTACCACAGAATCTTATAAGTTTTTCAATTATACTTGATGTGTTACCGTACTAAAATAGAACACAGCATGATTCATGAACTATACTAAATATATACATTTCTGGGATAGCTGAATTATAAAGAGATAATAGGAAATATTATGAATGCATCACAAACATAACACAAGGACAACTGTAACGATTTACCCTACTGCGACCAATATTTTAGCAGTGTATATTCAACTGAGTGTTATCAAAATGAGCAGCCGTTATGAACGTAGACAATGACGGCTTCGGGAACAAAAGACTTGATATCAGCACAGCCGTCAATACATGGCATGGCTCATTACAAAATATCAGGAGAGCTCAAAATCGAGCCACTGTTTGTTCAGTATGACTGACGAAACTCTCAAAGCAGTAAACGTTTTTTAATGTACACACTATCCTTGTCTGATAATGGAAATATGAAGGTTTAGCCATTAATCATTTAGTCCACTTTCCACACAAAAATTTGTCAAGCTAACCTTGTTTCGATTTCTTGTCGACTAGTAGGTATACCATTACAAATATGTTAGTTAGTAAGTATACAGGTTCTTATATATCTCCTCATGTGCACATCAGTTTAACCTCTATTTATATGAATGGTTTGTGCCGATTAACATGTTAAGCTGGGAAGTATATTTTTCTCTTCATGAAAGAAGTTACATAGTGGATGGATGATTGTTTTTATAAATTAATTTTATTCCGTATACTAAGCCTATTCTACTACTTTAAATTTCATGTTATCAAATACTGCATGGAATTGAGAAATCCTCTTGGGCAAAGTACTGATACATTATGTTAGTTATAACCCCCGGTCAGCCTCAGGAGTTTACTGTCTTTTTGCACAGAAAACATACTACTATCTTTTAGGTTGTAACGGACCACTTCCAAACAAGTTTTCGAATCAATGATCTGTTATGGAATATCCCAGTAATTAATATTCATAAAGGTAATTTAATTTATTTTAGAGATACTGTTAGTTATAAGAAATTATACATATAAACGTTACTGTTATAAATAAAATTAATCCAATGTAAGTACTAAATCCATTAAAATCTAAATTATTTCCAAACCATCATATGTTATATAGAGCACCCAGCTTCTCGAGGGAAAACAGACAGCACTCATTGAATATGTACTTTATCATTAAACACTCAACTCCCACCCTACCACATGACTGATCTTCCATCCGTCTCCAAGAACAAAATAATAAATGTAAACGTGGAAAATACACAATCAATCCTTATATATAATACGTGAAGGAGATTTATACGAAACAATACTCTTCCGTTAATAATGGACGGATTTTACAAACAATGCGTCAAAATTCAGGATTTTTGTGTAGAGGCCCTCTTTCACCAATTCCTGTAGTAAAAGTTCTCGGGCTTTGCCCCACTCAAAATCGCAATGTATTTCTTATGAAGAAAAGATTTTATTTACTTAAACAGACGAATAATCTATATATCAATACGCAAGTTTTTATTAATTGCATACTAAAACAGCTATTCATAATGAACACATGATACATAAAGAGCGCGCGTTTTCAATTTCGATGACTGGAGTGTAGTGATTGATTACATTATTTTTGAGTTGACTCTTTTAAGTCATTGAAAATTATGACTGTCATTTGTTTTGAAATAACGCCTGTAATACTTTGCAATTGCTCGAATTCGAGCCACAGGTACACTAGTACTAATTTACTGTATGCCAAATATTGACTCTACGCCATTCATTTTTGTAACCATGCAATAATCTCCATAGCGATAGAAACCCCTGTTATCAGATGAGGTGGTGTTCATCACCCCTGACCGCGCGATAGACCATTTATAATGCAAATCATGAGGACGCTGTGAGGTCGGGATAGCACTGCAAGCCTCGCAACAAGAAGCCGACCTGTTGAGTTTATTATACAAAGGTTAGAGGTTTAAGTTTAAAGTTTCAATAACTTTTGAATGTTAGAAATTAAAGAGATTTAATAAATTACAGTTATTATGTTATGTCTCAAAATGGGACTACCTGATTGACTCGAAGTAAAAGTTTGAAAAGTTGAGTAATATTTTTAATGTATTATTCATCCACCAGATGCGCTTGCTTGTCAGCGCCCTATTCGTACAAAAGAACATTTATTTTTTGTATGATCACTGATCAGTGATTTAAGCCTACGTTTTGGTAATTTGGTCTTATTATTTATTAAAAATCAATTTGCTGAAATGTACAAGAACACGAACAAACAATTTAATTAACCATAACAATTGAACGTATTCAGCAAAATTGGCAAGTAACTCTCTTGCGTAACTTGCTATCAAAAAATCATATACTTTTATATGAGCAAGGCTTGCTTGTTAGATTTTTTAAATTGACCTTATGGGTTGCCAAGTACCCATGTTGGTTGAACTACAAGAGAAAAGTAAACACAATACTTGTAACATGTGTTTATGACAAGCCATCCACAGTATACTAGCAAATTACAACTATACTTATATACTACTACTTATATACTATAGTACTATAGTATCAAATGAGAGAGAGAGAGAGAGAGAGATAGAAAGTATCAAGACAGTGCACAAATATTCCATCACCAATAATCTGTGGACTGCCCATCAATGATTGAAAGTTTACACCATGGTTTGAGTTTATGCTCGACTTTGAGAAAAATCTGCAAGTTTTTTGAAGGTTCAAAATGTGTATGGCAGTCATTTATAATTAGCGTTTCAATTGATGAGCACCAGCAGTGATGGTCTTTCCCATGTAGCACAGTTATGCATCCAAAACGTATAAGATACATTGCACTGCAACATAGGATATGTAACGGATGCTATTTGTTACCTATCAGATAGATACCTGATACGTATTTGTAACGTGCAAATGTCCGCGCTGAGGATATGTATCTTTAGATACCTTGGATATGTATCTGCAATGAAACGAGAATATGTATCCGCAATGTAACGAGAATATGTATCCGCAATGTAACGAGAATTTGTTTTTGATACGTATCTGAATACATATGTATGTACGTAGATGTGGTGGAATAAAACCCGGGGGCAGTGGAATAATTACCTGGGGGTGGAGCTAGAAGCGGTGGAATGATTTCTTGCATGGCCATGCTGGAGGTGTATAACAGGAGTGTAGTTGTAGAGGCCTACCTGGAGGTGGTACGAATCTTACCTTAAAAAATTGCTTAATGCAGTGGAATGATAACCTGGAGCATAGCTGTAGGAGATTAGGCCCACATAGAGGCAACTGCGATATATGTGCACGTTTGGTAAAACTGATTAGTACCTGTTGACAGTGTACACTGCTATATACTGCGATGTTTAAACTCTGAAAAATACTATGCTGGGATCAATAGCACTTTTTGGCAGAAGGCAAATCTGTGAAGGATTTTACCAACTGGAGGTAGGATGCTAGGAACAAAGATACATGAACACCATCCTTTTCTTCGTGCCATTATCATAATTCATTCTTCATACAAGGCTTTAAATGCTTAGATAACGCAAAGCATCGTCATTTATTTTAAGATCATAATGACAGAAGCTTGATCATAAGTAGTTGTAGTCTCTATGATGCAAATATTTTAATGAATTCTCAACAAAGAAATTGTCTTCCAGCGATGGCTACTTTAAATGAGCTTCTGTTTTCTGACAGATACTATTT